GTCTGGAAGCGCTGGTTGAACCAGGCGATAACCGGGTCCCACTCGTTGACCTGCAGGTCCTGAAGGTCCGTCTCGTCCTGCAACGGATACATGTCAGTGGACCGCAGCCCTACACTTAAAAGCAGTCACCCACGTCGTACTGGAAGAGCACCGTGTCGGTGGCCATGAAGTTGAGCAGGTAGTTGACCATGTCCAGCTTGCTGAGGTGGTTCGGATTGTCGATGGCCGTGAAGCAGAGGGCGGACAGGTGCATGCGGGAGCGCTCGATGTGCTCCTTCTGGGCGTCGAACTCCGTGGCCACCGCAATGGCGAGTGGTTCGCTGCGCACCACAAAGGACGTCCCCTTGGGCGTCTTCAGTTTCCGGTGGTCCAGCACCACCTCGCAGCCGCCACCGCCGCTCAGCAAGGACGTCTTCTTGTAAAACCGCTTGGGAGGAGAGGCTGCCGAGGGAAAAAACAGCACGCCGAATGCCGGCTGGTTATGAAGTGCAAGTAGAGGTTTACGCCGATGTCTTTGTCGTCGGCGGCGGCGTTTACTTTTATTATAAAAATCTAACTAATTAATTTTCGAGTGCGTGGATTTAGTTTCACTCAAGAGATATTTTACCTTATTATATATACAATGCTACTGAATCATAAGTGCCAGGCTTAATCAGGATATTCACTTCCCAGTATTTAGGTATTTTTCTTACTGTTCTTACATAGCATTCAGCTTTTGTCCAGATGCCACTCTCACAGAATCACTAAAATCTGCTGAGAAGAAAAAAATTGAGTGGCAAATGTAACTTTAAAATCCAGCTTTGCTGAAGTACTAAGATTTAATGGATTATATCCTTTAAAGTATAGAGATTATTATACCCTTGCAGAGGGTATTATAATTTCAGTCAAAAGTTTACAACGCAGTGAAGAAGACATTTCCGACCCTATAAAGTATATATATTCTTGATCAGCATCACCAGCATATCATATAGCTGTCATATAACTGATTGATCGGAAATGCCATAACTTTGGTGTTTGTAAAGTTAGAAAGTTGGGATTTTCTATGGGTTTTATATTTGGCCAATCAATCCGACCTACCAAATTTCAAAAGGATCGGCCGACTATATCCTATAGTCGCCATATAACTGATTGATCGGCAATGCCATAACTTTGGTTTTTGTTAAGTTTGGAAGTTTGGATTTTTTATGAGTATTAAGAATGCATCATATAAATAATTTTGGAGAATATAATTTACAGAATATTCTGCAAGGGTATATTTTCCTTTCTTGTTTTATTTTAAAAATGTGCAGTCGTTAATTTCATTGAGACAGTAGATGAAATCGACTAGAACGAGTGTCGATTAGTGGCGGGGATGTGGAAAAACTCATGGGAGATTACGTTGACTTTAATAATTTTTACCAATCTCATTTTCAAGTATTCGAATACACTTGTATGTTTTTTAAGACTTGTTGTACCAAAGAATTTATATTATTTATAAGATATGCCATTAAGTTTCAAAAATGATTTATATTGTAATATTTTCCAGCCGAGAGGCCCAATTTTAAAAAGAAAATATTCAGCGATAAAATTCTTTTAGTGGATAGGTTAATAAACATAAATTAATGAACCAAATTGTGTCCTTTGGAGTAATGATAATCCACAAACTATTCTTGAAGCCGTTACATCCTTAAAAAGTCACTGTTTGGTGTGCTCTATATTAACGTACCCATTTAAACAAAACTTTCTTGTGAAGGAAAATTGGTCCCCACAATTTATTTGACATAGCCATTATGTATTTCATATTTTTAGAACAGCGCTGTAAAAAACACACGTCTAAAAAACAGACTTTCGAATACAACAAATGTCTGAAAGTGTGTCTTTTTCTTTGGGAAGCGATCCACCAAGTAACATTTAACATGTTCCATATAAAGCTAAGATCAAAAACTATAAATCTATCTGAGACTTTTCTTTGGTAGGGCAGAAATCCAACACTAAAGCCATCAAAGGTGTAAGTGCGCTTTATTGGTTTAAGTCATTTTCGACAATTACAGGTGAAAGGTGGAAAAAGTTGGAAGCTTGGAATATTTGAATTTGCAGTTTTGGAGGAAATTTACTCAAACTTTATGAACCGTTTTTAGAGCCATTAACCCCAAGTTGAAGAGGTTTCAGGAACCAAAAAATATTAATTTCGATTTAGTCATTTATTTATATAATAAATAACTATAATCTTTGCTAATTTAAATAGTAAATCCATATCTTACATATTCTTAGGAAGTTTTTGTCACAGCATTGAGCTCTTGTCAGCGTAATGGTAAGCTAAAATTGAAATTTTTTTGTTACTCTGAAACAATTTTGAAAACTTTACCAATTTAGCAAGAGGCTAAATAAATTATTGTTTTTTTCTCTTGAAAGCTACTCCTTTTATTACTAAATCCAATTTTGAAAATGCCAAACAATGAGTAACTAAAAGTTATACACACTTATTCAAAAGGAAAACAAACTTTGGAAATCTTCTAGCTAGGACCTCATTTTGGCCAGAACATCGGCTGATTACACGAAAGAATGTAAAGTGCGATTTAGATGAAATGTGTACAATAATACCAAAGACCAATATAATTATTATATTGGTCTTTGATAATACATTTTAACCGAAACTTTGAAACCGCTTAGGTAAAGCACAGATTAGGTCGTCCAAAATAATTAACAACATCCTGTAAAAACCAATTCAAAGACTACGGCACCGGAAATACAGAAGGAAATATAACGAAGTTCAAGAATAAGATTACCCTCAAACTGTTCGAAATAAGCTCCACAAAGAGCACCTCAAAAGAAGCTTTTAATTTGCTTAGTACACAAGCATGGCTAGAACGACTTGGCTAGTGATCTCAATCATAAAAATCTTTACGATACTTATTCAATTTCAATTAATACATACTATATGAGTAACGGGTACAAAAATTGGTCACCCAGTCCCCAAGGGATTGAATCAAAGACCTTGTAATTTCGCGTTTAGACTTGTACTGCGTTTTTGTTTATTTTATTTTATTTTATTTTTTTGTGGACTCTACTATATCATTTATTCTTGTATTGACTCGCCAATATTTTTAAATGGAGATGAATTTCACGTGTGTCCACTTAACGTATCGGTTCAATTTCTATTGCTGACAAAAATATTTTTATTTGTTTTTAGATTCATTGATATAATGTTGAAGCGATTTAAGAAGCTGGTATTTGGGGCTTGATTGTATGCAAATTCATCAAATTGATCAGCTATTGTAAGTGTTTTGCTAATATTCGCGAACGCCTCCAAGTAAATGTTTACCTTATTAAGAGGCACCTCTGATAAAAGACAGCTGACTGTTCGCACGCACTTTAAACGCCATTAATCAATCAAAATGCATCAATCAAGCAATGCAATTAAACATACGCTCGCTCGGATATAGACTTTAAATTATGTAGTACCGTTGCATGGAGTGAATAATTGAAATTCTTAGTGCATACAAAAAGAGAAAAACTGAAAAAGGCGGAAGAAAAAAAGGAGGTTTACTGCAGGTGAGATTTTATGTACATGGCTGAAGTTTTGATTAATGTTGCACACGCCCCGATTGTCTGAATCGCTAACGTATTTATGGAGCGATAGGTATTTATGGTTTTTCGCTACCGGTGCCAATAGTAATGTTTGTATCAACATGTTGCAAGCCAAATCACCTGTATAATACTGATTGCATTGCCCCAATTTATTCAGATTTTCTTACGTTTGCTTGAATTTAGATGTGGAAAATATTTGTTGCCATGGTGACTTGTTTTTGAGTCGCATAGTTAAGAAAATGTCAAAGTCAAAGCTTAAATACTATTGAACCACTAATATTTAAATACGAAAACAAGCATTACATTGTCTTATTATATATCTTAAGCAAAATTCATATTGTTTTTAAAAAATTTGTTTAAATATCTATTCCAATTTCCCCATGGAAACTACAATTTTTGTTTATATATAGCTTCATTGTTTTTAGTAATATAGGCATAGAAATCGAAATATAGTCGTTTTGTAATAACTGCAAGGGTATATAAACTTCGGCTTGTCGAAGTTTGCTTCCTTACTTGTTTTTCCTTATTTTCCTAGGCGCTCGGATCTGTGGTAACCCAATGAACATTGTGACGTTCGCCGAACCAGAATTGCGAACTGCATGTTTCTGCGACCCGGGAACATCTATCGCTGCAAACTGGGGATGTCCTTGCTGCAGATGCTCATCCCGGTCGCCCGCAAGCCACTCTCAGATGCAGCCCACATCCAATCAGAACATCGACTTTTGCTGCTGCTCCCAGAATTCTATACAATCGGAACAGACTTTAACTACCTCTTCGAAATGCAGGTGCGCAAGTCAGCCGGAAGGCACTTCTGAGGATCTACTCCCCAGCTATTCTGACGAGGATTCCGAGGATCTAGTTTCTTTGGATAGCTCAGACTCAGAGAATCGGGGACTTGAAATGCCAGATCCTGAGGTTCTCCAGAATTCTAGGCAAAGTACAAGTTCTTCTAGTTCTGGTGTTGCTTCCAGCGAAAGTTCCGCCTATTCTAGCTTTTCGGATAGCGGTTCCATGGGATTAGACACACCTCTCGTGCCTCCACCTGGCACTTGGTATGCACCACCGCCATGTTTTTACCCCCAGGACGCCTGCTCTGCTTGTCCGCAGTCCAACTTTCTGGGAGCCCAACAGCAGACACCTCCACCGACGACAACATTCAATTCGTTCTTGTGCGGATCCAGCATCAACGATATGTTCCAGACCCAAACTGTTTATATGACGGATTACAGGCCGATTTTAAGGGGGGGCAACCCTGCTCCCTTTTGTGGCGGAGGATGCTGTTGCTCTCCTGAGCCACTTGCCACCAGTTGCTGGGGTAGTGAGTGCCTTCCGAGCGCTGGATGCCCTGCCCCCTGCTGCTGTCTACCTGATACTACGTGCTGCAATGGTCTGAGTGGTGACATGTGCGGCGGAGCCAATGGAACCGGCGGTATCTGCAGTTCAGATTCTCCATACTTTCTTTTGGGTCAGCCTAGGTGGGTTTAACTACCGTGTTTAATGTCCTTTGGCTAAATGACAGTCTGCTTTTAGTCCCGGATTCTGCTGCCATCTTCCATGCGGTACCAACATATACCCGACATGTGGCCCTTAAGGTAAGGCCTGAAATAAATAAATTAAATTATGAATACGAACTTTTAGGGTCTTGAATTCATCAACTAATCTTCATTAAACTTCAAAATGGCGTAAACAATGTCACGAGTTTAAGATTTTTTATTACAAAATATTGCATTGACAATTTACTTTTAATTGTTCGTCAATTATTTGTTGAATTTTAATTATTACATTTATTTAAAAGCAAAATGAACATAAATATTTACTAGGGGATGAGTTGGTATGTAGCACAATTGAACATCACAAACGAAGAAAACTTTATAACCTTCAAACTTTGAGCCGTTTAATTTTGAGCTAACTTTAACTACTTAAGCAATGTACTTAAGTAGACAAATTCTAGCCGTCCATATAAATTAGAAAATGTTTTAAAAATCTGTTTTCTTTGTGTTTGTGAGCGTTTGCAATGCTTGGGAAATTATAATATAATTTTGATTTGATTGGTCTTAATTATTTGTGTGGAGGCTATCATTATTTAACTATGGTAAACTGTATATTGATATTTAGTTAGGCCTTTTTATTCATTAAATTAACATTTAACTATTTTCAATTTCACTTAAAGTTTACATTGACGGACAGCAGCAAGAATGGGCAGAAGACCATGTATCAATTGTGCAGTGAGATCCTGATTTAACAATAAACTGATAAAAGCAAGTAACTTACTGAACAAACAAATTAAAAAATATTCGAATGAAGATAAGATTAATGAGCTCACTATTTGGATTATATTTCAAGTATTTTAAAAACGGAAAGAGTTAATAAAGCAAAGCCCTTAACAATGCAATTTAGATGTAAGTGATACTCTCCACAAAATCTCTTGGACTTCTGCCATCATCTTTAAGTATGCCTAATCTTCCTTCTGTAGATACAAGTTTATTATATTTTGAATTTAATTTTCTTTTTTTGTTGCGTGTGAATTTTCTGGTGGGGCAGGAAGTTTTACAATAAGCTTACTCACATATAGACACACACACATATGCAGGAAACAACTATCTAGATATAATCAAAAAATGATTTTTATACCCTTGCAGAGGGTATTATAATTTTGGTCAGAAGTTTGTAACGCAGTGAAGGAGACGTTTCCGACCCCATAAAGTATATATATTCTTGATCAGGATCAATAGGGGAGTCGATATAGCCATGTCCGTCTGTCCGTCTGTCCGTCTGTCCGTCTGTTTCAATACCGTTTGCGAGCTCAGTTTAAAAGCTAGCGATCTGAAACTTTCACAATCGTCCTAAAACATGTGTACGCAGATCAAGTTTGAAAATCGCCCCGATCGGACGTCTATATCCTATAGCTCCCATAGGAACAATTGGATATATCTTGCAAGACTTTATGATATTTCGCGCAGTGTAAAAGCTATTGACATTAATCTTTACAAATCGTATTATTTTATGCATACCTTGATCAGGGTAAAAGCGCGTGGCGATCGGACGTCTATATCCTATAGCTCCCATAGGAAAAATAGGGTAAAATCGGTTAAAATTTAATGATTTTTAGGATATTTCGCGCAGTGTAAAAGCTATTGACATAAATCTTTCCAAATCTTATTTTTTTATGCGTACCTTGATCAGGGTAAAAGCGCGTGACGATCGGACGTCTATATCCTATAGCTCCCATAGGAACAATAGGGTAAAATCGGTCCAAATTTGATGTTTTTCAGAATATTTCGCGATGTGTAAAAGCTATTGCTGTACATTTTTTCAAATCGTATTTTTTTATGCATTCCTTCATCAAGGTAAAAGCGCGTGCTGATCGGACGTCTATATCCTATAGCTCCCATAGGAACAATACGGTGAAATCGGTCAAAATTTCATGTTTTTTAGAATATTTCGCGCAGTGTATAAGCTATTGACATACATTTTTCCAAGTCTTATTTATTTACGCATACCTTGATCAAGGTGAAAGCGCGTGCCGATCGGACGTCTATATCCTATAGCTCCCATAGGAACAATAGGGTGAAATCGGCCCAAATTTGATGATTATCAGAATATTTCGCGCAGTGTGTAAGCTACTAACATAAAATTTTCCAATTCTTATTTATTTACGCATATCTTGATTAGGGTAAAAGCGCTTGCCGCTCGGAAGTCTACATCTTAAAGGAGATAGGAAAAATTGTTAAAGGCTGCGAAAGTATCCCTTTTTTTCTATTTGTATATGACATTTTTGCAGTATAAAAGCAATTGACTTGAAACGATGCTAATCTAGTTTACTTATGTATACCTTATTCCTTTCGCTACTTTTTCACTTTTAGCAATTTCGTCAAAGTCTGCAAGGGTATTAAAACTTCGGCTTGCCGAAGTTAGCTTCCGTCCTCGTTTTTTAAATAAATTTTTTTAGTCTTTTCATTTTCCATGTGTGCTTTAGTTTACACTATACATAAGTCAAATATGTATATATAGCAAAATCAATATATACTTTTCTTACTGAAACTCTAGCCAACAACAACAGCAATCTAGGGCCCTGCACATGGCTTATATCTAAATATATATTGGTGTAAAAATTTGGCAATCTTGCGCTTAGATTCAATCTCGACCAGTGGGCCTGATGTGGCTGCTATCGTGGCTTTGGTTTTTAGGCACATGTTTTCAGAGCTTACAACTAAAGAACTTATCTCCAAAATATATGTATCTAATACTAAATATGTAAAACTTGTTTTGCCAACGGCAGCAGATTTCTATCTCTGTAATCAATTGTCAATGCTCCCCGCGCAAGAGCTCCATTAGCAAATTGAAATCCGCGCCATCCCGAGTCTTGATCGTCAGCATCTCCTTGCCCAGCTTTAAAAGACATTTATTATTCGCACAGAGTAACATTTAAATATGCATAACACCGCACTCACCTGACATGTTCGCTGCAGGTCAGGAATACGCAGCAGTAGTTCCCCAAACTTTGACGGCGTGTCGGGGTAGTGGGCCAGGGTGTACGCCTGCAAGCTCTGCAACGCCTTTTCCTGGCACTCTCGCACCTTCACCGCCTCCTGCAACTCCGTCGTATCTGAGGGGACACACTTCTTTGATTAGCGTTGGGGTCAACTTGGCAGGTAATTATACTTCTTACCCGACTGCAGCAGCACTATCACCTTCATGGCAACATATTCATAGCGATCAACGCGTAATCGCCTCAGGTGATCTGTCAGATTGAGCATCCTTTCAATAAATAAGCGGTTATATTCGTGTTACTGGGGTGAATTTACCAAGTAATCAAGTCACATTTTTAGTATCTCATTACTCTTATTAGATGTAAGCAACCCGAATTCTTTGCCTTGATTTACAGGTATTGCCAACTAAAAAGGAAAATTTGGGATTACAATAATGTTTAATTTTTGACTTGGCCTGCGATAGGGTTATCTTCCGATAGGGTTATCGTAGACAAAGTATAAGAACTGCAAGCCAGGTGCTTCGTTCTTTCTATTTACCATTATATTTATTAAGCCGGAGCTGGAGGACTGACCTGCAGTAGTGGTGGCACGCTCCCGGTTCGCAGGCCATGCTTGCCCGTCTCCGCCGCCTCCTCCGACTTGATGGAAGCTCCTCCCAATCTGGGGCTGGCGGGCAGGGAACTCGAGCAGGGAATGGGTACGCCTCCAAAGCCATTCAACAGATGCAGTCGCTGCTAGCCACCGCGGCTGCGGATCGCCTCCAGCTTCATGCCCTTCTGCAGGCACTTCTCGAACCGGCAGGCCGGGCACTTCTTGCGCGTGGAGATGCTCACCTGGCAGGGTCCGCCCCGCACGCACACGTAGTTCTTGCGGTTCTGCACGGTGCGCTTGAAGAAGCCCTTGCAGGACTCGCAGGGCGAGGGAGTACTGAGAAGCATTTGAATTTTGATTGGACGCATCATAGCTGAAACAAATAAACCCGATAAGTTGACAAAGCAAAAAAATGGGAAATTCCCTCAATCATTTCAGGTATCTATGGAAACGCTTCAAATTGAGTTTTTAGTTTGGTTCGCTGCGGTTCGTGTTGTGTGGTTTTTTGGGTCTGTGGTGTGGTTTTGGTCAATGGAAATGCTTATGCAAATGCAACCCAACCTGCAGCGAGTTGAAAAAGTTGTTTACTAACCCACTATTCTGAGAGGCATGAAATTCCTTGAGAACTGGCCGTTTTTCCTGACTAAAAGCAAGAATAATTGCCGGAAGCGGAAGTGCCAAGTGCTGGTGTTGTTACTTTACTTTGCCAAAACCACAATTGTGCAAAAAATTGCACTAAAGTGCTTCTCCTGTTTTTCTGCACAGTAAATATGCAAAATCTTTGCCTATACACTCAAAAACAAAGGAAACTAAAACTGGTCTATTAATTATTTCGGACAACTGTTCTCAGTACTTTTCTTTAAAACGAAGGCCTGTATAATTGTTAATTTCGTTTATTAATTTATTTATTTGTAATTATAATATTTTGTATTTTTATTTATAAAATATTTTTTAATAATTTATACCCTTTTGGAAGGTACTACAATTTTGGTCACGACCTTGCAACGCTGTCATATGTATTTTCTCGCAGCGCAGGCATTCTTCAATTTTCTGTTAGACTGCAAGACTTTTGAAACTTCAGCTTGCCAAAGTTAAATAAATAAATAATTCACTAAAATCCCTCTACCACTTTTATTTAAGTGCATCATGGAGTATAACAATATTGTTTGTGAGTGCTTGGAGGGGGTTGGTAAATGGGGGCTTACTCTCCAAGATGGCCTCTCTAATTGAGGTTCGGTCTTTATCAATGGAAATGCATTCGTAAACCCCCTTTTTCCATTCTCTCGAGAATGTGCGTGTGTGTGCGTTGGTGTCCATGTGTGTGACCCGAGCAATTAGTCAGTTATTGCTGGGTTTTTCAGGGATTTTCCAAGTGGCGAACAAGGGGGGATACTGCGATTAAGCCAACTCAGTGGCATGCAAGCATAAAATGTTTTTTGAAACGTTACTGACTTGTTGTTCTAACTCAATACAATGGGCAGGACAAGGGCTTAATCGAGACAAAAAGAAGGCCATTCAGAGCACGAGTTTGTTAAGACCTTGAGGTTGCCTACTTTTGGGAGGAATTTCAAATGAGTGTTTGGCTTAAATTTGTTTTTAAATATTGATATGAATTATAAATTCTTCTGAGTGCTTATGAAATTACTCGTGGGAATGCTGTACTGCCACAAACTTGGCGCAAGAGTATTTTAAGGAACATGTTTGGATTCAGCTAACCGAAATAAATAGGGAGCAAACTTTACCTTAAATTGAACGCTTTTTATTACGGAGCGATAATTAATATTCTCGGCCGCCAATGAAATGTTCTGGACTCAAACCAATGTCCATTTCATCCGATCAAAATTGGTGTTTTTTCACCGACCTTCAAACTTTTTCATATGAATCACAGAAGTTATGAACTTTTTTATTAACAAATTAATACAGAGCTTTTGAAGTTTTACCACCCCATGGGATATCCTTTTATTATCCACTCTTTTCTAACTTCACATGACTTCTTCCCAACATGTTGTAAAAAAAAGTACAAGTTTCAGTATGCAGGAAGACATTATCCCCCTTAATGATAAAAATGTGTGTTTGAAGTCAATAAAACCTTTGTTGAACCTTTTAAAAAGATCACCTTACAGCTATCATAATTCTAAAAATCAAACTCCATAAAATAGTTTATTTACTTAAAAAGTAAAGAACTTATTTTGTAATAAATTTAAAAACCAAGAATAGTAAATAAGAAAGTTGTTACAAAAGCAACCGTTGGATGCCACATTTTGTATAAAATTATTTGCTCACATCAGCGTGGCATTAAAAAGGGTTTCCTCAAGTGCAGTGAGAAATCCTGATGCTTGCCTCATGCACCTGTTTCCATCTGTTTACGTGCCGCAATTTGCATTTGTCACCGCCTCAAACGAGGATGTCACGCAGTGTGGTCCGGGGCTTTGAGCTTGACAAAATTGCAAACGTAGTTCGAGAATTGGCAAGGGAATTGGCACGAAAAGGGGTTTTTTAACCCTTTCCCAAGAAAACTTGTTTACTTGCTTTACTGTATCAGACTTTTCCCGTTTGTTTAACCCGTCGCAAGCTTATTATGCACACGCCTTAAGATGGCCACATTTTGTGGCAAATACATTAAATCACCGAAGCTCAGTTTGGTTTGTAATATGAAAGAAGATACACAGCGAGAAACATTTTGTGTAAATGGACACAATAGACAAATTATTATTTAAATTTAGCGACATTTAAAATTGAAATTTATTTTGATCCCTATTTAAGCCAAATATAAAATTGTGTTTTCTTGGCAGTTGAAAGACACCTTTTGCTTTTTCTGGGAAAGGAGGTTTTAGATGGCTGGTATTCAGATGAGGAGTTGGCCATGGAGTTGACTTTTACTTCGGCTTCGGTTTGCTAAGCAAGCAAAAGTTTTGCTGGCTGTGTGTGTGTTTTTATTACTGCTGCCAGTGGGCGTTGGCTTTCACGTTTAGGAGGCCTTTGATTTCTGCTTTGAATTTTCTAGCCCCCGACTCTTCTGCCACGACCCCCAACCAGCCCCCCTCTACGCTCCTTTTTGACTTGGGTGAAAGTGGAGGCCATTAAACCCGAAAAAGAGAATCCAGGAGGCGAAGAAAGGAGAGGAGACCGCCTCATAAATCTCACAGCGCCTACAACATGTGCTGGAGTTTGTTGTGGTGTGCTTGAGGAACAGAGGGGCAGGCCATTGCCCTTTGCAGACTTGCACAATGCAGAATAACCCCCTCCTCCGCACCTCGTCCCTTGTCCCTCCCCCCACCTCACAAGCCAAAAACCTTCCTCAAAATGCAAAATTTGCGCAACATAAATTATGTTTTGTTAAAATGTTTACGCTTTTTTATCGTGCTGCTGTTGTTGGTTGCATCCTCAGCCTGGTTATCGCTCCTTAGCCCTCCCACATCTCCACCTACTTATACCTCTTGCTACACAGAGAAAAACCATCTAAACAAATCAAAAATCTTTCTGAAATGATTCAGCACTTTAAATGCTCCAACCGACAATTTTTGGTAAAGGAAACTGCAAGCGACAGTAAATATTGTGGATTGCTAAAGTTAATGTAAGTGGATCACCTTAAAGCCAAATCTGGAAAATTAGCAGAATCAATCCCCTAAAGCTATTTTGCATTGCTCGCCCACAGTTCTGTCCTAATTTAAATAGATTAATTAATTTAAGTAGTATTTTAAGGAATAAAAAGGTTTTTATATTTATTGGGCTTAGACAAATTATCGAGAATGTAGATTGTATTAATTCAGAGTAGAGTAGAACCTGTTGGGAATTATAAAATAAATATCAATAGGTACTTTACAGTTAGTTACAGTAAGCAAGTCAAGAATATTTGTAAAAGTTTATGTTAATAATTTAACCGTCAATACAGAAAAATGTAACCACAAAGTACACTGCACGATAATTTTACAGTAAACAGCTCTTTTGAATAATGTGTTGTATATAAGTCAAGATGAGGGTTTTGAATTTGTTGAATGCTTTTAAGACATGTTTTCTCCCAGTGCACCACCTCCTCCTCAGCTCTCCAGCTGTGTGTGTCAGCGTGTGTTTGCCTGCCACTTGACACCTCTCAATGACAAACCGCTGAGTTGCTCCCTTCTTGCAGATTGTCCTCCTGCTTCCTCCTCGCTCGGCTTCATCTTCCTCTTTAGCGAGTGGTATTTTTATTGCATATGTGTGTTCTCAAGCTTCAGGACTACCATCAGCTTTGGACACATGCACAGCTTCAGCTTCAGCTTTAGTTTCCTGCTTTTGTCCTGGCCAGAAATATTTTTTTGTCCTATTTGAAGGATGGTTTAGGAGAAAATGAAGGGAAAAGTGTGCAAAAATAGGGGGTGAATAGGAGTAGAGGAGGAAAAAGCCAACAGTGATGGACACAGAAGTTCCTTGGGGCCATACACCTTGCTGCCGGCTGATTCCACTGAGCTCGTCATGAAGTTTGCTAATGCCAAAAACGAACAAGTTTATTTTGGGACTTCCCAGAAAATATTTGCATATTAATACTGGCTTTAAAGCTGGTTTACTACATTCACAGTTGAGGAAATGCTTTTAAGAAGTTCAAGAAAACTGTGGTTTCCTTCGTTTTGTTGAGACCATGAAACCGAATTCCCCTGTTAACCGCTTATTTACTTTAACCATACGTTTATTACGGGCTTTTAAGCTTAAAAAAACTCTTATTTTATTATATTCGATTAACTAGACATTTTTAGGGCTAATCTTGTCCCTCGTAACTTTCCCATTAATCTTAAATTCCCATCCTTTTACCTTAGCTACCAAGTTTTTGCTCTAGTGCCAAAAATGTTAAATTGCCCTACAATAATTTGTGTGGTTTTACTGCCAAGTTTTATTGGATAATTAAGAGGGGGAGTCAACCTCACTCCTGCGATGCCCTTTTTCTCTGCGAAGGTTCATGTGTGGGCGTGTTTGTCTATTTCTTAAGCATTTTGCGGTTCTTTTAGCCCCAGACTTTGGACCTCTTCTGTCTCAGAGTGTGTGAGCATAAATCTTGCAAGTGGAAACTTTTTGCGGCAAGCGCAGCATAAATATTTGAAAATTAAAAGCCGTTCTCGGAGCTCGAGTTCCCTACGAGTTCCCTTGCCAGGCCACAAATAAAAAAGTTGCAGCTGCAAAAAGGCCGCCGCAAGAGTGAAATTTATGAAAGCTCTGCAAAGTAAGAAAAGGAGGGGGAAATCAACCCCCTACCAAGTCATTCATAATGGGAAACTAAGCAAATGCAGGCAAATATAGAAACTGACAGGATCGGATATACGAATTACAGGAAAAATGCATTATATTTACTGCCAGAGGAGGGAAAAAGGAAACCATAGAGAACACTGGAATTTATTTCTGTTTTAAATATTTTTGTTTTATATTTTATTTATGTAAATCATTTAATTTAGGATAAAGTTTAAAAATCTTGTTAACGGTATAATTGCAAGGGTATTAAATCTTCTGATTGACATATTATTGTTCTTTAGGTCAGGGATAAAGTCTTTGCATTTTCTGATTTTATGTTTACTTTATTGTCCTAATTTTGGAATACTCCTAATCTGATGAACTTATTAACAAAACTCAAAACTATCTTTATCTCTTAATTAGCTGTCATTTATAATATCAAGTAATACAATCTGTAGCATATGAAAACGAACCAATCTGCGGGATATTAAAATTAAAATTAAACCAAATACGTTTTCAGCCCGAGAGCAAAGCACAAATGCTTAATTACATTCTCGATTTCAACATGAATTGAAATCTCGTTACGTAACAAAAAGACAGCAAGAACAATGACGGCAAACGGCAGCAACAACAACAGGCAACAATAATCATATCACGAGGCATAAATCACCAAACAAATTGAATTATCATTGCGTCATTAAAAAGTCATTTCAACCGAAAGCCCACGTTAAAAAAGAAGTACCACGGAAAAAATAAAATATAATGAAAATAAAGGTGAAACGATATAATTATGTTGCAATATGGCGCCCTCAAGCATGACCTACGCCCACAACAACAATAGTAAAACAACAACGCCAATTACCGCCGAAGGTGGGCTCACAAGAGGGAGACGGATAGACAGAGGCAGACAGATATAGACAGACCAACGGTACCTAAAAGTCACAAAACGCGAGCACACGTTCACTTTCGAAAACTTAAGCCAATACGGAATAATTGAGTTCAGAATGCCAGAATGAAAATCAGTTTTCATTTTTTATCGCTGTTGCTTTTGCTGCACCCAAGCGTAGCATTTCAATGAAAATTGTTTGTTTTCCGAGAGTCGAGGGCGCGGTTTTAGGAAGATGTCAATAAAAATCATACAATACGATTTTCGTACTTGACACTTGATTTTCGAGCATACAGAATTTGGTATGATAAATAAATAAATGTTAATTTCTTTAAGTCTCTAGAAATATCATACCAAAAAAATTTCGAATGATATATAATTATTGGGAAAACAGCATTAAAATACTGGTTATAACTTCTTAAACTTCAGTACAAAATAAGGGGTTACGTTCTAAAAATTCAAAATTGGCAGAAAAAAAAATTGTTATTGTTCAAATTTGGTCTGTTTTCATTAAAGACTCATAAATTTTTTCAATATTAACCAAAAGTTATTAATAAATGCATAACATTCATATTTTCAAAATTAAAAGTTGGTATTAAATTAAAAAAGTTGCTTCATTTAATTAGTTAACAGGTTAAACTTTATTGAAACGTGAAAATGTTAAAAAGTTGGTATTAAATTAAAAAAGTTGCTTCATATAATTAACGGGCTAAGCTATATAAAAACTTTAACCTTCACAAAATGTTCCAAAGTAAGGAGATCATATGGTTTTATTCATATAAAATTTGAAATGCATTTGGTGGCATTTATAGATTAAGCCAGTTTGTTTGTGGCTCCTTATCAAAAAAATCTGTCATTTTCGATTGTTTGGTGCCTTTAAATCAAAAAAAAAAAAAAACGATATTTTGCAATAGTGTAAGACGAGGTTTTTAGCGTGTTAAAAGGGGGATGGGAGTAAATTTGTAACCGTGTAGGATCGAGTTCGTGGTAAAAGAGTCCGTGTTAAGTGAGGGCCAAGCGTAGTTTATTTATTTAGCTCCTCCAAAGTTCTGCATATAGTGCACGTCTCGGAAATGATCCTATGATATGGGTGCAAGGTACTCACGAAGAAGTGAAGCTCAACGTTGTGGGTGCTTTTGGCGGCACATATCTGGCTCCTGCTCGGGCAACAGCCACTGTCATCGCTGCAGCGGTGCAGGATGGTGCAGTGGGGCGTGTAGATCTTCGTGGGCCAGTTCTGAAATGGGAGGGCGGCTTTGTCAGCTGGCTTAGTCGCTTATCCACGGGGAATGGCTTACCTCTCTCGTTTTTCTGCTTCTGAGCGTGGAGTCGTCTCGCCCGGAGTGCCGCCTCGGGGGTTCCCAGCTGCTCGTCCTTCTTCTGGATTAACTTGCCGGCTATGTAGTTGCGTGCGTAGATGTTGTTCACATCCTGGAAAGGAAAACGAGGTTGGTGTGCTTCAGTTGTGTTATGCTAATTGATGGTTTTGTCCTGGGTTCATTTTCATTCATTGCCCATTCCCCCTTTTGTCTAGCCCCCATGTTGTCACTCACATTACGCATACGCCACCGTGCCGCAACCATAAAAGTCGCTCACATTAATAAAACCCCCATTTGTGCCGTGTGATGACAATTTGTCACCATTTTTATTGTTCATAGAATGTGGAAAGTAATGGAAGGGAAGGCACACAGATTGAGGTAACATGCCAGTGTAACATTAACGAGAAGTTGCTGCCTTACAAACTGTGAAGCCAGCTGAAGTTCATAAACTAAGAATTCATGTGTACGCAGACGGCACAAAAAGCAACAGCCATATAAACAGCAGCAACAGGGAAATGACACAAAAATAAAACGAAAGGCAAGATGACTGAAGAATACCCTAAGTTCAGAACCATATTTTAGGTACTCAAATTTGACTTCTATAGATAAAACCAACTTGTAAGTCGCAGTTTTTACTAATCTAATATTATTTTTTTTTTTTTTCTATACTGCTAGGGGGAAAAACAGAGGTCAACATATATTTTTTTTAAGCCTTCGCACAAAAATGTAATTTCAAAATGAGAGTTATTATTATGAAGGCATAGAAAGCCTATACCAATGGACTACTAGTTTTAATAGTTACAAAACTTTGTTTATAGTTACATAATGCACTGGTAAATTTGACCAAGTCAATTTATTTCTGTGGCTTATGGCCTCAACAACATTCCTCAATTATTATCTGCCAGTTTTTCTTCACTCCAATCGATTTTTTTAGGCAATTGATGGACGTGACAATTTTTATTAACCCTTATTATTTTTTAGACCACATTTAATTTATTTCATTATATTTGTAAGTAAGAACTGATTTCCGCATGCTCAAATTTATGTACTTTTTTAGAAAGCAACCAGCATTTCTCTGATTATTTTTGTATCATTTATAATATTCTATAGTCCTGAAGATATATTATTCTAAAATTTGTTTCATTGCGAACCGATATCACATCCACCATTAAAATTTGCTAAAGATTGGAAAAATAATAATTAATATCCAACTTCAAGGTATAATTAAATTTAACTAATCTGCTATATCTTTGCTTCTGTTAAACAGAAATCAATATATTAGAAATGCTTTTAAAATGAGAAACACCCTACCTAAGTTTCAGAAAGAATCATTTACTGACTTTTATACACTTTATGTTAGCAGAATCCGATATAATGTTTGAAGAATTAAGCGCACTCACGTCAGACCTACATTAAATGGTTTCAATTTAAACAATAAAAAATATATTTTCTAAGAAGATATTTGTAATATAACTTAAATATTGTTAATGTGTTTTTATAATTTACCACTCTTTTAACATTTACTTATTGATTAGTTTCCCTCAAACTCCTCATCTTCCGTATATTTTTTGAGCCTACAAACTGCGCCACCAAACCTCACTACCTTGACCCATAAGTGCAGAACAATGGGCACATGAAACAAATTGGCATTCAAGGCAATAAATACGACTGCGAGAACAATAGAGAAGAAATTGTCGGACATGGACATATAGCGATGTCCGGGGAAAAAGGAAATCAACCTGGTCCGCAGTCAGAACCAGAAACAGAAACAGAACCAAAAAACCAGGCCCAGTCAACCACGAATTGGAAGCGAGACGGAATGAAGTAAAAATGTTGACCAATGCGCACAATTGGCAATTTGTGAAGTTAAGCGAAATTAATGAGTTGGCTGCTGCCATCGCTCTTGCACATACATAAATATATAAATATACAAAGACTTATAGGCCGTGTTGGTAATAGCGAAAAATCGTAAATTGTGCAAATGTGGGTGGGCCAAATGGCTCTAAATAAAAGAGCAACGTACTGGAGTTGGAGGGCCTGTTCATCAGTCACACATTGGGGATATATATATTCAAGGTGCTTAAAAGCAATTCGCATAAATCTACTTCTTCGGCATTTGTGCGTCGTATTGTGTTGCATCCCATTCCCATTTTTATTTAGGGGCTTAGCATTTCGGGTCCATTTGCTCTTGGCCAAAAACAATGGCTCTTTGATGTTGGTCAATGATTTTTAGTGGTTTAACCTTGAGGCTTATGAATGGGCCCCCGTTGCTGTTGTTTTCCGATAAATTACGTGGGGCACTGGGAGCTTGAGGAGCGGTTGTTGTAAGTCCGACAAGAATGTGGTGATAATGCCCAATGACTTGAGGAACTTGGCTTTTCGGCCAGGTAGATCCACTTTTCCAGTGGGACATCATTCAAAGAATAAAAACCACTTCATTGATTTTTATTTCTGAGTCAAATTTAAATGGGACTATAATTATTGGTCCCTTAACCATCTACTGCAGGAACACCTTTCCAATTATGAAAAACCATTCTTCATAGAAAAACTCTATTTCTGTTATTATTTAAAATATTTGGATATATTTGCATTTTTTATTAGCATATGGCATATTTAAAAACATAAAAACTTGGGAAATCGCAGAAAATAGATTTTCGAGTACTTAGTGCAACATCAGAAGCACCGAACACCAGCGCCTGAATTTGTATCTCATTTGCCAAATTGCACTTGTATAATGATTTCGCTTGACCCGTATATTTTCGTTTTTCCCATCCTACAAAGCCTCGCTCACTGCAATTAAATTTGTATTTTCTCGGCTTCCCTTTTCACCAGATTTTCCCGTTTTTCCGTCTAACTGCTGACGACACTTCAGTCTGTGACGTTGGCTGAGAATTTATCACCTTTTGGGTCTTCCCTCGTTTGTCAACTTTATTCAATTTTGAATACTGCACTGCCAGCGAGAAGAGAAAGGGGATGCCCGGACAAGCTGCCTTCACTTTCATCAAACTTCTGGCATTTGACGCCGCGCTGGCTGCTTATTAAAAACTCAAACGCCCTTAGAGGAGAGCTCCTACCCCCCCTTGCCCCTCCCCTTGCCCCTCCCCTTGCCCCACCCCCTCGTGTTGTCCCACTAGCAGACACTTGGCTGTCGAGTTGAGTGCTGAAATATTGTAGCCCCTGTGGGGGATCCCCCGATTCCCAGTTCCCAGGCCATTCCTGTCTGGCTTGCTCCGTCTGCTGCTGTTTGTCATATTCCATTCCACAGACGAGTGGCATTTTGGTGGAAGAGAGGAGACGGAATTGCGGCACAGAGAAAATCTAAGGATGAAGGATATCTGAGCTATAAATAGAACAGCTAGTTTAGGCTTGCAAATTAATACTTCAAATATATTAAGAGGTTGAATGATTAACGTGGTTAATAATAAAATTCACATCTATTTGATCTAATTTCAAAAATTGTAACCAAATTAAATCTAAGAGATATTGTAGTAAGCATTTTAGTTTTTAAAAATATAAAATATATATATTGAATATTTAACTCATTTAAAGAAAAAAGTAGATTCATTTCTCTAAGTTAAGACATAAAAAAAAATTTTTATTTATTTAAGTTACTCCGTATTTTTTAAGGTTTTTATTTATATTTATATTTCTGAAATAATAGTTATTTTTTTATATTTATAAATACAAAAAATCCAATGATTTTCTAGTTATAAGATCAACTTAACCCGACTTTATTCGTTTGTGTTTTTGGTTCTCTTTTTTTTTTCTCAGTGTAATATCGCAAATTGGAGCAGAAGAAGTATCCTTGATATCATATCAAAGTAGAATGCTTCTATTTATTAGGGACACGCAAAATTGACTCAGCAAAATTAAAATTCCATTTGAAAGTGATTTGAAAAATTTTTGAAATGAATATTTTCCTTATTTCGTGCTGCATACTTTGAGGGTGTTCATGCCAAATTGCGCATTCGCCGAATGTGACGCGTGGAATTATTTAAAAATGTATTTGTGGAGAAAAACCGAATAAAAGTTGCCCAGATAAAAAGCGATTCGAGTTCAGAGGCGGAAAGAAAAGTTTTGCATTGAAAAGTTTTTTGTGGCGGAAAATGCACATACGGTATGCACCCGCAAAAATGTTTTGGTTCGCTTTGGTGATTGCTGTTTACTCATAATATGCAGCCAGCCCTCTCTTTCTCCCGCCAGCTAGCCGTCTCTTTCTGTGGATTGTTACCTGTTTCTGCCTTGATGCGTTTTGTTGCATATAAATTGTATTTGTTGAACTTTATAATGGCAATGAAGTTGATGTTTTTACAAAGCAATTTGCTACAACACAACTTCTGTCTCTCCGCTTCTCTATGTGCTTTTTTCTGTTTCCTGTTTTCTTTCTCACTCTGGCTTTTCTTACTGCTCTGCTCTTCACGGCAAACTTCAGCCAAGTTTTCTTTTCAGGCTGGTCTCATAAATTTTTATTATGAATCCACATATTTTTCAGTTGCAATCTTTCTCGGCTCTTGTCTCTCTCTAACCGGCTATAGCCATCTCTTTCACTGTGTGGCGTCTGCGGTGCAAATATGTGGCTAAGTTGGTGGCCGAGTTTGGTGCGGTTAATGTATGCTTTGGCAGCTATTTTGGCTTTCCACCATAAATTTAGCGCCGAAAATGTAAACTTGTGTAGCATAAATTAAATAGCCAAAAAGGGATGGTTTTTAAATTTAAATACCCATATAAATGGAATTTTTGAGGCACAATATTGATTGGTTTATGTAATAATAATTGGCGGCTGTTTTGAGCATTTATAATTTAATTAAAACATTTCTCACACTTTCGTTACATTTTCGTGTAATTTGCTTTATATGTGAATTTAACCTTATTTATATTGTGCCTCGCTCAGCATTTACGCAAATTTCCCAGGTGCTTTATTTTTCATTCAACAGCAACAACCTTACTCGTAAAATCCAACAAGCTGAGTGTGCTGCGAAAAAGGCAGCTTAAAGTCCTTTAAGGCCAACGGCAAATGAATTATAAATGATAAACCAACCGAACGGTGGCAACCTTTAACAGTTCCACCTCAGATCTTTTTGGGGATATGGCCCTTGAGGGCGATTATACATT